TAACGTATACAGGGGGAAACCTGTTGAACAAAAGGAACGAGTTGGTTTCAAATTGTAGGCATAAAAATAAATTCCTTCTCTCGTTTTATGATACTGGCGATTAGCTGATTTATATAAGATTTTCTTTGACGTTTTCTTTTTTTGTCTCTATAGAGACATCAGATGTCGCTCCACTGTATTTTGTAATTTTATTAACGATTTGTTTGTTTTTGATATAGTACATGGCTGATGATTGCCGTATAGACATGAAACTATTAGTCCCATGAAAAGTTGTTTTTTCTATATGTAAATAAAAATATATATATATATATATACATATATATATATATATATATATATATATATATATATATATATATATATATATATATATATATATATATATATATATATATATATGCACGCACATATGCTGTAATAGAATAACTCTAAACTATATACATACATACATACATACATACATACCAACAAACACAAAAGAAATAAAAAGTTAAAAAAAACTAAAATTATTCATAAAGAAATTCATAAATACTTTGTTGTGAACCATTGGCTTTTCTGAATTGTTCTCAGAAGTTGAATAAGCTCTCATTAATGCTTGAACAAGTTGTCGATTTACAGATGGGGTAAGAGAGACAATATCAGGTGTGTTATTAACAAATTTTTCAGCTAATAAATGAATAGTTGGAAATGATAAACATACATCCATTCTAAAATATATATTTAAATTGATAAATTACAAAAGTGTGTGTATATATATAAATACAACCCTCCGAATTAAGGTCGATATTTCGCAATGCTGGTCTAACTGCCAACCTAATATATATATATATATATATATATATATATATATATATATATATATATATATATATATATATATATATATATATATATATATATATATATATATATATATATATAGTAACAATCTTCTTTTTGATTTGAAAAACATTCATTGTTGAACTTATTTCCTCAATAAAAAAAATTTACTTAAATTTAAAAATTTATTTGAAAGAAATTTTCTGATTAAAAATATTTATACTAAATTTAAGATTATTGAAAATGAAACATCAACAGACAATGAAAAAGAAATTCACACACCCACACACAGTTTAAACACAGCAAAATGGCGGGCTTACACATTGTACTACTTTAAAGTTTTTTTATTTGCTGATAGAAATGTACGCATTTTTTTAAACAAAAAAAAAATATTTTTAGTAATAGTTTCTGAATTGAAATATAATTATTGTTTTGAATTCGCTTTTTATACATTTAAAGATCTTACATATACAAGATTTGTATCCATAATTGTTTGGAACTATCTGATTCTGATTTTAACATTTCTGAATACAACTTAATTATCACAGTATCTTTTAAAGATGCTCTATCGATTATACAATTTGTTTAGCACTCTGAAGTAAAGTGAAACAGAAAAAAAACTCCATGTTTAATTTATTAAAAATTTCAAAAAGTAGTTTAACAGCAGATATTCCAAATTTTTATATTATCTACAAAACAATCTCCTTTAATGGACTCCTTCCATTACAAATTGACTATTAAATTAGTTGTTAGAAAATATTGTGATAAAGTAAAAATAAATTCTTTGCTACATAAAACCTTTTACCTCAATATTTAAAAAATAAACACATTCAAAATGTTAGTTTGTGTAAGCACATGAACTGTTTCTATTCAAGAAGACAACAGTGTGAGGACTACACTGCAAAGACAACAGTGTGAGGACTACACTGCAAAGACAACAAAAGACTACACGTTTACTCAGAAATGGCAACATGGCTTAATAAAGACTTAACTCAGTCTTTATTAAGTCATGCAAAGACTTTTTAAATATCGCTATTTAAAACCCCATGAAATATTTTACAATAAAGAATTTAAAAAAAAATGTCATGTAAAAAATAAACAATTTACAGCACCATTTATAAAAAAAAAAACACAAAAAACAATAATCATATTATTTTGTAGTATAGAGATGAAACAAAACTGTCATTATAAAATGATAAATTTCCAAAATAATCAGATTAGACATACTTGTCAAAAAAATAACAATAGTTTTTACAAAAACATAATTTTTTTTCAAGTTTTAAGAACTTACCGACTTTTATTTGAAAGAAGCTGTATCAACAATTTTACTGCATCATCTGTTGTCTGAGGTTCAGCAGACCAAGCACTTAAGAAAACTAAAACGACATCTAAAACTAGCTTCACAAAAAACATTCCACAACTACTATGTGACTTGAAACATGCAGAGAGTGTTTGGTCTGTATCAAAGACTTCACTGTAAGATAAATAACCTTGAGTCCATCTTTTTAAAAACCAAAGTGAAGTTGAAGCAAGTTCAGGACTGAGTAAATGAGTCAAACTGCTTTTTGAAAATTCCATTTGAATTTTTATCAAGTTTACTACAGATTTAAATAATGAAATGACTGGATCAACTAAAAAATATTTTAGTATTTTATATTCATATATATATATATATATATATATATATATATATATATATATATATATATATATATATATATATATATATATATATATATATATATATATATATATATATATATATATACATAAATTAAAACAACAGATAGTATGAGTTCTCTAATTACTATTGGTATTTATTTTAAAGTTTTTTTTGGATTATGGTTATCAGCATATATAATAGAAGAGTATCAATAAATAAAAACTTTCAGTCTAACTCTTTACTTCCAATTCTATTTCATTTTAATTATATTTTAACTGAGGATGACTGCGCAATTTTCAAAACATATATTTGTAATTTAAAAATTAAATGTATGTATATATTAAGAATTGTAATTAGTTAAAGATTTTAAACATAACAAACGTATGCAATTATCTTTCAAAAAAAGTATTAAAAAAATAATTCAAAAAATAAGAGAAAAAAAGCTAGTTTTACAAACTCAACTTAAATTGTGACACTTTTTGTGTTACTAAAATTGTGTCCCTTAAGTTGTATCATTTAAATTTATTTAATGCAACAAACCTATGAAGCCTCTCTGTGACTTGAGTATATACAGTTATGGCTAAAACGATTTTTGTGATGTATAGTGTAAGCAATTATTACTAAAAATGTCACTTTTATGTCACTTTGCTTTTTTATGGCTTCTCTTAGATCTTCTCATACCCTGAAAAATTGGGTTCTGTTTAGAAACTGCTTTTAATTTTAATTAATTGTTTTTGATGAGGTTTTGGGTGAATAAGGCTACAGAACAAGAAGATTGCATTTTCTCAAAGCAATGTCTTGATAATTTTTGATAATTAACTGATTGCAAGCTGTCTTGTTATAAAAATTGTAAACATATTCTTCAAAATTTTTAAACAACTAACAACTTTGTCTAACTTTGTGGAAAAGGTGTAACCAGCACAACTGCTGACAGTGACTGCACCCCAAATCATAATTGCTGAACATTACTTAACACAAGATGTACGCTCTACCACTACACTAATATATTTGGGATTGAAGCGTATATTTAAAACATTAACCTTGTGTTTACTGCAAACTGGTTAATGCCCTTGAGAGTATGACATGTTGTGGTATTTTAACAATCTAATTCTTATGTTCTTTAAAAAATTTGAGGAGGTCAAAGTGTTTTTGAGAAAGGCCTGACTTTAATATAAGATGGTATAATTCAAGATAAAAGCCTTTCACACAGTCTGATAACAGTTTGAAACTTTTTGAAATATTTTTTTTCAAACTTATATAAATACTTTTAATGCTAAATTAAAACCATGAATAAAACCAAATTTTATTTTTATATGCTAAAAACTTGCATATAACTTCAATAAAATAAAACTTGCAACCTGATGTAAACAACACAAATGTAAATTAAAATATTTAATAAGTTTTTTAAAAAGAAAGAACATTAGATTTAATATATATATATATATATATATATATATATATATATATATATATATATATATATATATATATATATATATATATATATATATATATATATATATATATATATATATATATATATATATATATATATATATATATATATATATATATATATATATATATATATATATATATATATATGCGGTAATGGTGTAGTGGTAAAGCGCTTGCTTCATAAGTGTGAGGTTCCGAGTTTGATCCCCACCACGTCCCTGGTAGTATTGCGCTTAACTCGTTTCTCCGCCCAGCAACCTTGTTTATCAAGGTTCGTGTTTCGGAATTATAGAGTTGAGAGAGGGTTATAATCACAAATAAGTAGCCTCCTTGTCTTTAGTAGCCTTCTCGGCCTTGAGGAGGTGAATAAAAATATTATTATTAAGTGAACTATTAACAAACAAAAAGTATTACCTTGGTGAATATCCCCCTCGTTGCCTTCAGACATCAAGTAGTTTACTGAGTGCCCAATACTATTACATTGGGTTGTTAGGAAATGTTTTGTAAAATCTATTACTTCTGATGGTATTTGTGGACTTTCACTTACATCGTTATGTGTCAATATAAATGATGTGACCATAAGCAGCCAATGCAGATCTTCAAACAAACTTGTGGCGTTATTTCTATCTATATACATAAACAATTTTTTTAATTATGTGAATAATTATCTGATAGTTACAAGAAAAAAAACTTTTGAGTGTTTACCAGTGGTGATGATTTTGATATTAGCATAAAAGGAATTTTTCCACATGTATGCATTGGCAGCAAATAGGTACCACAATCTTTTGATTAAATACAACAATATTCACTATCAATGACTCACCAAATATTTTATCAGCTTGTTTAACACTCTGAAGCAGTTTATTCAGTTGCTGAATGCGAACTTGAAATTTTTCATGAAGTACAGGTAATATATGCATTAAGCATTGACGAGCAAGGTGACCAATATTTGATAATTCGTCAACATAAGCAATTCTATCAATTTCCACAAGGTCGCAATCAATTTCATTGGTAATCTGCAGTAAAAATGAATAATTCAATAAGTTTTTAACAAAAATTCAAATTATGAAATAAAATGCTTCAATCAAGTAATAAATATTAGCGACAAAACATAATACAAACAATTTTATAACATAATTACTAATTATGAATTAAATTTTTTACAGATTACAGACAAATAATTTTTTTTTGAACGTAATATTACAAATGTATTAAAAAATCTTTGATCCGAAACTATGCAGAAGAAAATAATACTAAAATCATTAAAATTACTCTAGCTTACATGAGCAGGTTAATATATGATATTGTTTAAATGTCTTTGCAATTTGGTAACTACATTTACATAGAGTTACCAAGACAAAATTAAATTCAAATTTTTTAAAATCATCTTTAACATTTTAATATTGAGAAAGAAAAACAATATACAAGATTATAAAATATAAAAAATTTGAATGAGCTTAAAAAAAGAAGTCTCTCATGATTTGGAGCATTATGTTGAAATTATAAAGTATTATTAAATATAAAGCACTTGAAAATCAAAATTAGATACCAGGATAATTAAACAAGCTTCAAAAATTACTTAAAACAAAAAAAAAATCTAGTAAATAAACTTAAGCAACAAACAAAAAGCACAAACTTTGCTTACACGACAACAGCACAGCGAATGGACAAACACAGTCAGAAACCACTCAAAAAGGTTCAGAAATGTTTAGATATTCTAGATTTATGATTATATTGTGAATCACTCTCTCAGAGTAGCCCCCAAATATAGTCCTCCATCATGTTTTCGTTATACTGTCCTTGGTAACAATGTTCAAAGTCCAATATATCTAAATAAAAGCGCTCGCCTTGCTCCTCAAAGTAAGAGCCCATGTTCTACTTGAATTTGTCAAAATGCGAATCAAGGATATGAACTTTCAGAGACATTCTGCTTCCCATTTTGGCATAATTCTTTATGCGAATCTGCATTAACTCCACATAGTTTTTAGCTTTGTGATTACCTAGGAAGCCCTGAACAACTGCAATGAAACTGCTCCAAGCTGTTCTCTCCTTGCATTTTATGATCTTCTTGATGTGTTAATAAATATACCAGCCCTGACTTTTCCTCGGACAGCTTTGGAAAAAGATCTTGGAGATATTGAAATGCTGCTGATCTTTGTCAAGAGCAGTGACAAATTGCTTAATGAGACCTAACTTAATGTGCAGTGGTGGCATAAGCACTTTATGAGGTTCTATCAGCGACTCCAACTTCACATTGCTCTTCCCAACAGAAAACTTGGTCCGTTGTGGCCAATCCTTTGTGCGATAATGCGACTTAGTGTGAGGCTCCAGGATGACCTGCCTATGAATAGGTGCCATTCGATAGAATAACATGTGATACCTATAGCCTGGAATAGACTGGAAACATGGTTGCATAAGCACAGCCCATCACATTGACTGATCTGTGACTTGTACACTATCATCAACCATGTTCCACTGCTTGAGCTTGGATATCAGAAGCTCAGTATTCAATTTCGTAAGTTCAAGGTCCTTAATTAAATCGCTCATTTCTTTCTGGTTAGGGAAGTACAGCTTTCTATCCCCAACTTCATCTGAAGAATTATAATAATTTGAGGACAGGAAACTTCAAAATATGGAACGATTTCAAGATGGAACGTATTTGCCTACAGTACACAACTTAGAACAATACTCTTTAAACTTTTTTAACTCCTTAAAATGAACTAAATCTAAAGCATCGAAATTTTAGGAAAATAAATTAACACATATAAGCAAGAAGCAACTGTTCAGTTTACCTTCAAGTGTTTTCATGTAATATTTGTATGTGAAATGCAGTGCCCAAGATTTGTCTTGGTTTTCGACTGGCACGCCGAAGTATACCTTGTAGACCTTGCATATTATATAACTTGCTTTTATGAAATACTTTTTCGCTTTTGTCTTTATGAAGTGTCCACATACGTAGCAGAATGAATCAGCTGTATGCAAATAATCTTTTGATGCCATATCAAATATATAACTTCTCTTCAACTACGAATTGTTATCCTTTTAGACTGCAATAACACAAATTAAAATCTAGGTTCGAGACACCTGTGCTTTTATACTTGTATAGCTACTTTTGGAACGTTCAAGAATGTTTTAGAAAGTTTTGAGAGTTTCTCAAAAGTTCTGGAAGTTTCTTGAACATTCTAGAGTATTTAGGAAAATCATAGTAACATCTGGACAACTTTAACAGTTCAGGAATATTATAGGAGGAAGTTTGGCATTGAAAGCAAATTGAGAATTTTCTCGAAAACACACGATTTTCCAACATTTTATTGTCCTGTTCACAGAAACAAAGTTTTTCTGCACTAATAGCGATTTCTTTTCTGTTCTAGACATAACAGGTTAGAAAAACACACTTTCAACACATAAATAGAACAAAAGTGAAAATTACATAGTGTAATACTTCACACAAATTTACTTAATTTTTTTTTTTTTTTTTTTTGTTTAATAAACATTTTGATATTTAATTTTCTAAATTACTATTGGCCAAAAATGTCCTATATTGGATCAATTATTTTTTACCATAGCAACTAACTACTCTATAATTTATTTGAAACAAAATAAATTTATTGTCGTGAATAGAAAATTTGTTTTTACTGTGTTTTCAAAATAGTATTTTATAAATAACAGGCTTTCACAGGAAGACGTGCGATCGCACGTCTTTATATGACCACGCAAAAAATAATATGTTTTAAAGATTTGACCACGGCTTTTGACGTATTTTCAAAATTTAAAAATGCGCTACAAAAACTTACCTAAACTCATCTAAAAAAAAAAAATTGTAAAAAGAAAAAAAATCTTATTGAAATATGAAATAAAAAAAAATACTTAGTTAAAGCAAAAACACAAAAAAATAAATATATATATATAACCCAAATAAAACAAAACTCATCAAATTAAAATGCTTAGTCTATTTAATTTACGCATTAAAAAACCATTTCAATCTTTGTTTTAACATTTGTACTTTTTTTATTTTATTAAATATGTTTCATAAGATAAACATTTCTCATAAAAAATACCTAACTATATAAATAAAAAAAAAAAAACAGTTTTATTATATTAATACTTATTTTAAAAATTAATCAGAAGTGTTTTGTTACTTCATCGAAAAGCCTTACAATAATATAAAAGTATTTAAGATCAAACTTATTTAATTTAACGGCTTTCTAAAACCTTTTTTTTTTCTAACAAAATTTTGTTTATCTTTTTAAATGTATTAAATTTAATTATTCTTATATTAAAATTCGTTAAAGAATCTTTCGTAGTCGTAGAAAGTCATCATTTATAAAAACAAAACACTTTTTTATTTTTTAATAACGTTTATTATAGAAATGCGCACTTAAACAATTATAATTATATATTATAAATTAAAAAAATATATACAACTGTCAACTATATTTTAAAATAAAAAATATCAGTAAATTGTTATTTTATTTAAAAGTGTTTCGCTAATATAAAAATATTTGTTGAGAAGTTTTGATGTAATTAATTTCACTTTTTCAGAATATTTTTCATTTAGCCCGTTTTTAAAATGTTTTTTGAATTAGCCGCGGTCAAATCGTCATAGCAAAGTGAAATTTGCATGGTCATATAAAGACTTGCGATTGCACACCTTCCTGTGAAAGCCTGAAATAAGCATATTTACTCAGCCATTTTATTTAGTATCTCTAATTAGCTAAAAATGTTTTTAAAATTCTTTAAAAATATACTTACCTTGAATAAAACTAAGATTAATGTGTTAAACATTGTTAAAAAACATTCTTCAGTGTTTCAGTTAACAGTTTTTGGAGAGTAAAATTTTTAAAAAGAAAACATTGAAAATGATTTTGTAAAATTTAATAAACATCTATTAGTCTATTCTATTGGTCTATTTCTAATGTCAGTTTTAACACTTATAGCTTGATTTAAAACAACTACAAGCCTGAAATTAATTAATTTGCAGGTCTGATGTAACTGCATAGCTAATTGCTTGGGGTGCCATGTTCTATCTATGATTGAGTCAGGTTCTTTTAAACTTTAAATATGACTTATGAAGTATTAAGATTCTTAAACTTTAAAAGCCATTACCACAACTTAACTGTCTAAATCTATCTTTTATGAAAATTTGTGTTCTTTAAAAAAACTTTTCATCATTCAACTTTACCTGCAAAACTCACCAGACTTATTGTTTTATGTGAGATTAATTTCCAGACAATAATATGATTATTTTAGTATAATAGGCATGTACATAGTTGAAATTACCAGAAATGCAGATGGTTTTCACAGAGATTTAGAGTTAACAATTTTAAAGATGCACTGTATTGATTTGTTACATTTAAATGAATGCACAGTGGTCTGAAAAACTTGATTTTTGGCTAAAATTAACATTTTCATGTTTATATATTAAATCGATAATGCTGAATGTAAATCTAAAAATAATTTTTGATTTAAAGGTTTGTTGTACAGATATCGCATAACCGGCCCAGTCAAGAGTTTCAGAAAAAGTTTTCATTTCTTTTGCTTATATATATATATATATATATATATATATATATATATATATATATATATATATATATATATATATATATATATATATATATATATATATATATATATATATATATATATATATATATATATATATATATATGGGCTGCAGCAAGGAAAGGGGGGGAGGTCAAGGCAATGCCCCCCCCCCCTTCCATAAAAAAATTTTGGCAAAAAAAAAATTAGTCATAAATTCTGTATTTTTTTTTAATGAAAAGCTACTATTCTAATTTTTAATTTAATAATCACTCTAAAGATATACAAGTCAATACATTAAACTAAAAACCATAATAATTTAAAAGTTTCAAAAACTATGTTCTAAAAAAGTATTTTGAAATATAAATATGTTTTAATAGTGGACTTTGCATTTTACAAGGATTTTAAATTTACCAAAATACGCTTTTTTTTTAAGTACTTTTATCTAGTTAAATATATGGAATATTTTATAAAAATAAAATAAAAATGAATATTTAAACTATTTTTAATAATTTAGATAGCAATTACAATTGCATTTAAAAAAAATTGTTTTTGAACATCTATTTATAAAAATAAAACATAAGTAGAGACACTAGTATTTTCGATAACATAAAATAGGTATTTTGGAAGCTCTAAAGTTGTTATTTAAATAAATATTTTGGGAGCTTTAAAGTTGGTTTGAATAGTTATGTATGCAGCTGATTTTTTTTTTAAATAATATATGATATTAGAATTTAATAAAATCATATCGCTCAAGTCCATATTGAAATTGAAGAAAAAACTTTTATTTTATGCTAATTTTAAATATAAATAACTTATGCAAATATACAATAATAAAAAATTATTATTTCAAATAAACTAAAACAGTTGTTTTAAAAAAATCTATACATATGTGCATATATATACTAAAACAGTTGTTTTAAAAAAATCTATGCAGATGTGCATATAGGTATAAATTTATACACAAATGAAAAAATGTTGTATTTTTGCAAGGAATTATTCATTGATTTTTAATCAATGAATAATTTCAAAAATTACAGATTTAAAAAAAAAAAAATCTGCAATTTTTCAATAACCTGGATAATGTTGTGTTTAAAGATAATAATAATAAAAAAAGCCTAAAATCAAGTTTTTCAGACAACTGGAATGCAAAAAATCTTAATATTACATTTAAATAAATTTGTGATATGCTTTTTGATTTTTGTAACTAGTATTTTGCAACACCATACAAAGAAATCACTCTTTCTTTTTTAAACAACTTATGAAAAATTAATGAACAGCACTACTATGAAAATATTTACTTTTTAGCACTTTTTTTAAATCCACAGGTAGATACATAATGGAAACTGCAGTAAAAAAGTCTCCTGAAGTTCAACTTATGGGTAAGAACTACAACCAATTCTCTTTAACATTGGCTGCAATTGATGATGCCAAAAAAACTAAAACAGTTTTTGCTTTGTTTTGTCTAACTAAATTGTTAGAATTACATGTTCTTTTCTAAAGTAGCCATGATGGCAGAAGATGAGTTTGGAAAAGATTTTTCCAAATTATAAAAACTGATTTTACTTTGTACCACTTATTTGTTTTATACTTTTAAAATCAGTAACAATAAAAACTAGTAACTTTTTCTGATGATTGAAAAGAATTAAGATTATTAATGATCAATGATTAATAATAGATTAATCATTGATCATTGAAGATAATCAATGATTAATAATCTATTAGTCATTGATCATCTTCAATGTTTTATTTGCTTGATTTAATTGACACATGGTGGTACATCTTTTATTTAAAATTTTAAATATTGATTATAAATAAAATCCAAAAATTAAAATCAAAATTTATATTGTCCGGATTGTTCCAAATTTTTACAAAAACTCTCTAACATTATATAAAACAAGAAAAATGGAAAACAAATATTTTCCAAACTTCAATTTTGGACTATCCTAATATGCACATACCAAATAATTTTAAAATTGTAACATTACTTATCAAATTAGATTTTTAAGCTGGCCTGTGCAATAGAAACAATTTGGCTGTATGTGCACTACAATATATCTAGATTGACAGAAAAGTTTTAACATAAGTTTTGTCTGTAAGAGATTTTTCTTCAGACTCAGCTGATATTAAAAGTCATAGTCAAACTTTTGATAAAATAGCATTTATTACAAAAACCTTGCTTTTCACATGGACAACTTTATGTCATGTCTTCAAAAACAAGATTGATTAACAAACTATTTTTTAATGTTAACTACAAGGTTAAAAAAATAATTTATTACAAGGTCATTGAAAAAAATCTCACACCTTTGCTTTTTATTATATTAGTCTTTTTCATTTCTAGAACTACTTTTATTTTGGTTTGCCTGCTGTTGAAATATAGTTTAACTGTAATATAAATTTTCATAATTTCAAATCAATGACCTATAAAATTATTTAAAATATTTCCATTTCCGTAAATTAATATGAAACTAATAATTGACAAATTTAAAGATGTCAAGGCTAAATTTGAAAGTAAGTTTAATATACAGTTAAACCTTACATTTTCTGGTTTTCTAATTCCATGTGGTGGCGCTAGATGAACATTTAAGTATATGCTGACAATCTTCAGGCTATGCTCAACAAAAACTCCATTCGGAAAATTATCTGCATGAGATACAAGTGACATCCATCCATCTAGTAGTATATTTGCAGCTTCACCATATTCATTGTCAAAATCGTCCTAATCATCAAGTTTTAAAATAAAAGATTATTGTTATGTCAACAAAATTTATATTTTTTTAATCAAAAATATGAGAAATATAGGTAAAACCTATATTCCACACATTGTTGGATATTAAATATATATATATATATATATATATATATATATATATATATATATATATATATATATATATATATATATATATATATATATATATATATATATATATATATATATATATATAAATATTATACATTGGTTATATTCTTGATGTCTAAGAAAAGGATTTGTGCACATAATAATTTTTTTTTTTTTATCAAAATACTATTAATCTATAATTTTTAATGTAAAAAAACTTATTGAAATGAGGAATAAAAGATTAGAAAACTGAAATAAAAATTTCTGTACAAATGATAAATTATGTTAACAATTGTTTTATTTATAAATTATGTTAACAACTGTTAACAATTTTGTAGATCAAATTTTCTCTATAACAATAAATTATACGAGGACTCCAGAGATCAAGGGGTCTAAGTAACAAAATCATCATTTTGAGAAAACTTAAGGAAAACTAAAATTCCATCATTTTGATGGCTTATCAGAAGAATAATCAGGTCTGTAGGTTTTTATTGCTATAATAATAAGTAGGGGTAGGGTGGGGGTAATCTGAGCCTGTTTTTACTTATTTCTGACTTTGAGTTTTAAAAAAAACAATCTTTAGGTATCAGCTTTCTGACAAAGGATGTCTTAAAATCATGATTGGACATCCTACTAAAATAAAATCATGATTGGACATCCTACTAAAATAAAATCATGATTGGACATCCTACTAAAATATAACAACAAACTATTACTTAAAATACTATCAATAGGTCTGGGGAGCCTTTATTTGAGGATGCCTATAAAGAACCACATTACCTCACATAGTGGGGTAATGTGGATTAACATTCTGGTTTAAAATACCGCTGCTAATGAAAAATCTGACAAACATTCTATATGCACGCACCTTTATTATAGTATATATATACAAGGTTTTAACTTAAAAATTAGTCTTAAGATATTTTTATTGAAAAAGAAAGTGCAAACATACACAGCACAACAATAAAAATCAAAAACTCAGAGAAATAAAAATCAAAAATGGTGATTAATAACAGAAATAATGTTTTAATGTGTTTTATAAAAATTTATTATTTTTTTGATCACTGCACTTTTATGGTAACAATCGTGCTATTTTTGGCACTTGTTAGATCTTTTTGGGTATTTCTTTGATACTTCAGCAGAGGTATAGTTTTTTTGTACTTTTTTTTTTAACTTGGTTTTTTCCTCTCTAACCTTTTGTTTCTCAATAAACCATCGTTTAACTTTCTCATTTGTAAGGAGTCCTCTATATTTTGCTTGTGTTTTCTTCCTTTTTTATTTTTGTTCTATTATTGCTGCTGTTTCTGCAGATAGATTAAGACACATGATTGAATTTAAAGCTTCTCGCATAACTGATCTTGGTCTTTGTAATCTTGGAGATTTAGGGCTATAACATTCAGGTGATTGATTGAGAAAGTCAATACCTGTTATTCTTCTTTCCATCTTTTCTTTACTTAATGGTGAGATACCTGTACCTCAAAATGCTGCTAGAGCAGTTGCTGGAGAGAGTCTCGGAGACAACTGTTTCAATAACCCTGTAAAAGCTGTCTTATCATTATTTTTGTGTTGTGTTTCTCTTGCAAACCGCTTTAAAACTTTTCTCCACTCTCTAATGGTCTGAAGACAGCTACATCTAACAGTTGTAATGCATGTGAGCAATTTGGCGGAAGACGAACATTACATATCATTATATTTTACATGCATAGACAAACCTGATTATATTTCAAATTTTAAATAAATCATGTTAGTTAGTGTCTTAAAGGTATACTATCCTTAAAATATAGTAATTTAAATTTCAAAATAACCATTTTTCACATGCATATGCCTTATTTAAATATATTTTCTCTGGTTTAAAAACGGAGAAAAAAATGACTTTGTTGATGTATCTAGCATTTTAGGTAAAAAAAAAGTGCCATTTCTAACAGCATAGCTAGGTTATATTTTAAAAATAATTAGCCTAATATGTTATAACAAAAGGGTAAAAGTTATAACAGTATACCTAAAGCCATTATCAATATAACAGATAAATATGAATTAGACTCAGATTACCACTTAGACCCACATTAACCCACCCTACCCTACTTACATCACTTGGTTATGGTTTTAATAATGAAAAATAGTTAATGGTGCAAACTTTTTAGGATTTTATTTAAAAAACATTATGGTATTTTAAAAATTATAGTATAACATTTTTTGCAAGAAACTTCATTCAAACTTTATTATATTTTTACAAAAACAAAAGTATACAAATAAAAATACCTCTGCATGCACTGACGCCTCTAAAAAGGAACATGTAAGAAAGGTCATTCCATCAAAAAACTGAAAAAGTAACTCCCTAGGAATTAATATTAGTATTTTAATTGGGAAAATGTCTGCAATTCGAAAAAATATATTTGATAAACCAAGTGCCTCATGACCACTCCAATGATGTCTACAAATAAAAAATGAGTACCAAAGTTTATGAAGAAAAAAAAGTAATAAAGAATTAAGTATTTATATTAAAATATTAAACTTACACATTAATTATTGACAATAAGCATGTCATATATTTAGCAAGATAATTAACTGAGTGCTCATCTGAACTGAAAACTGCTCCAGTAACTGAAGCAAGTTGCACAAGACATTGCATGCAATGGTGAGATAATTCACTATGACTTATGCTTATAAGTTGTAACTATAAAATAAACAAATGTTGACAACTTAAAATTATTTGACGAGATAAACATTTGACATAAACACTTATTCACAATTATTATATGCTTATATAAATGTGCAGTAGTTGTCAAATATATTTTTACAATCATTTTTTGTGCAATAACATCTTAAGAGAAAATATTTAAACCATTTGTTGTTTGGAAAATGAAGTTACACCCATACAAATATAGTTTTAGTTGGTAGGAGTTCTTTTGTTTTAATAAGTAATTGCATGTGTAACAATGTTTGTAACATTTTTTAGAAAATAATAAACAATTAAATTGCATTTAGCTTGTAACATTTTTCGAGTAATAACTTTTTATTAATTCTTATATTTATATGGAATTTTTTCAGCAAACTTCATTAAAAATTATTAAAATCACATTCAAAAACGGGAAAACACAAGAAGTATATTAAAGATCTTTGTAATTCAATAATAAATGTAGTGGAATCACAAAAGCAAAGCTGCTCATCAAATCGGAGTATCCAAACAGCTTGTATGTGCATGGATTAAGATAAAAGCACCCAGGGAAACTTTGGAAACAAAATCCAGATCTGGTCAAACAAGAAGAACTATTAAAAATATAGCAAAAACATTTTCTAAAAAATACAATTTTTTTTGTACTAAAAAGTAGAAAATAAACTTTTTAATTTAAATTTAATAGTTCAGTAAACTAAAGGTTGACAGGTCTGCGCAAGATTTATATAAAAACATACCAGTCAATCTTTAGTTTACTGAACTATTAAATTTAAATTAAAAAGTTTATTTTCTACTTTTTAGTAAAAAAAAGATTATATTTTTTAGCAAATGTTTTAGCTCTATTTTATTTTCTACTTTTTAGTCTTTACAAAGAGTTACGATATATTAGTATGAAACAAAATTTTTTTGTTAACCACAGTATTTTATAAGAATAAAAAAAAAAAAAAAAAATAGAAACCCACAAGCAATTTTAGCAAATTTTAAAAATGAAAAGTATTTATAAAAAAGAAAAAAGCAATAAACAGCGTAAACATTCTCGCCTCCACTTTTCTTCCGCAGCAGACGGCGGCTGCCTCCCAAATAATTTTTAGCGGCAAACTTTTTTATGTTCTGCCTTCAATGGCATCCGCCTTTCTATTGACGGCCATAGTCAGAGATTTTTTTTGGAGGCAAAATGTTTTTCAGGCCGACAATAGAGAAAGGCAGAAGTAGTAATCTAGTAGAAATTTTGGAGGCAAAACCATTTGGAGGCCGCCTCCTATAGCTTTTTCCTCCCAGCTGGCTGCGGCCGATAAATTAAAGGAGAATATTTGCCTCCCGTCGGCGGACGTAATGAAAAATTGCATATTTGCCTTTAAGTTAACGAGCAATTAAATTATTAACTGAGAACAAATGTTAAATATTTGACATCAAAGTTTTGTTTTGTATGATTTATTGACTATTTAAAAAATTTTTTGAAAAAAAATTATTATTTTGTCAGAGTGGTTGTTTTTCTACAACTATTGAATAAATTTTTAATTTTTAAACGCTTAACTTTAAAATGTGTAAAAGTAGATGAGTCTATAATTTTAAACGTTTTAAAAGTATAGAGTAAAATATAAATAATATTTATAAAAGTATTTATATTTTAAGTTTATAATTTTTGTTGTTGTTGTTGTTGTTGTTGTTGTAATTTGGCAAAACTATTAGCATAATACAGCGTAGTGGCAAACTTTTTATAAACATTAGCAGTTATTTTTGCAATAACTTTTACAATATTCAAATTTGATGTCAAATATTTAACATTTGTTTCTAGTTAATATTTAATTGCATTAAAGTAAACGGGCAATTATTTTTCATTACATCTGCCGGCGGGAGGCAAACATTCCTGCCTCCAATTTGGCGGCCACAGCCAGTTAGGAAACAGAAGCCATTAGAAGCGACCTCCAAATAATTCTGCTTCCACAATTTTTTTGGGGGGTGGCAACCAATGGCTTCCGCCTCCCTAATGGCGTCGTCCTCTAAAACATTTTGCCTCCAAAAAATAACTCTGGCTGCAGCCACCAATAGAAGAGCAGAAGCTACTGGAAGCGGAAGAAAGAACATTTTGCGGCTAAAAATTGAACAAGAGCCCGCCGCTTACAGCTTCCGCCTTCCTAAAAAGTTGACCTTTTGGCAGAAAGTTACTTTGCCGCCTGGCGGCATTATTAACTAACAGAAAAATTTTAAAAAAAGTAAATTAAAAAAAAATTACAAACCCACAAGCAATATTAGCCTATTTTAAAAATGAAAAGATTAACATTTCCCATATATAACTAGCAATTTAGTAGCAAATTTTTTTATAAAATATTTTTATTTCAGAGCGTCATGGACGACAATTTAAGATAAGGAAAAAAATTATATAAGTGAGCAAAAAGATTACAAAATATTCAATTTTTTAGCAAATGATATTGTTATATTTTATTTTCTTCTTTTTAGTCTCTACAGAGTCACGATATTTAGCAATGTCAAGACATTTGAAATTAAATAGAGCTTTCTATCCTTATTAAAGAAACAGAGCATTTCCTGATTAAAGGGAACCACTGAATAAGCGCAAATTTTATAAGTGCAAATGATGTAAGTACGAACTGGTATATATGCGAAATGGCATAAGTGTGAACTGGCATAAGTGCAAAGCAGTTAAAAAAACTGGCACAATAGCGAACTGGCATAAGTGAGCCAAAAGAATTTGGAAACATTGGCATAATTGGGAAATGTGATAAGTGCAAACTTGCACAAGTGCGCCAAATAAAATTGCAAAAGTTGGCATAACGCAACTTATCATACTTTGCACTTATGCCACTTCGCACTTGTGCCAGTTTTTGCAACGCCTCGCACTTATGCTAGTTTGCACTTAAGCCAGTTTGCGCTTATAAAGCATCCTGGATTAAAGGAGCAGAATATATTTTTTTTAAAGGATAAAATTTTTTATATAAAAGTAAGATAAATACAAATACTGTACAAATATTTCATTTGCATTGTCCTCCCACATATGTAATATATTTTAATATTAATATTAGACAAAATTATGTTGTAAGTTACATTTTTCAAGTTTATTTAAAAAAAAAAAATTTTTAAGTATTAAAAAAAGATTTAAAAAAAAAAATAAAAATCCACAAGCACAATATTATCCGATTTTAAGCAAAGAAACAATTTTACATTAACAAAAAGCATTTTTTAATAATAAACAAACCCGCAAGCAGTTTAGAAGCAAATCTTTATATAAAAGGTTACTTTTTATGTCCCTAGGACGACAAAGAAAGTTGAGGAAGAGCGCATGTTAAGTGAGAGAAAAGATTATAAAAAAGATAATCGTCAACTTCGTCAAATTTCAAAAGGTGAGGCTTGCCTTACCGGACCACAGATTACTTCTGAATACAACAAATATTCTGAAGTAAAAATATGTGAAATAAATGAGTCAACTGTGAAAAAACATTTACTTGAGAATAATTATTCAGAAGACATCCTAGCAGATATTTACAAGATGTCCTAGTCGAAAACTGTTGATTTTAAAAAAGAACCAGATTGCTTGAGCATTTACAATTGCATTTACACTGGATTAAACAAGATTGAGGTAAAGTATTGTGGAGTGATGAAAGTAAATATAATTTGTTTTTATCTGATGGTATTAAGTATGTTAGATGTCCAAATAATAAAAGAGAAGACCCCCGGTACACTGTGCCAACTATAAAACTTGGAGGTGGTAGAGTGATGGTGAAAGAGGCGCTGCTGTAACTACCTCAAAAGGCTATGTAACCAACTATTGATTAAAATAATTATAAATTTTATGAACTTTGATAGGTATCTTTATTTTTTTACTTTTTTTAAAATATAATCAAAAATAAAAATACTTTTGACCAAATTGAAAAATAATTATTTAAAATATATTAATGCAAAGTCCATTTAAAACTTTATACTGTAGTAGAATGTCACTAATGTACATTTAATAAAAAATAAATGATCCACCAGCACCCATCAAAACAATATATATATATATATATATATATATATATATATATATATATATATATATATATATATATATATATATATATATATATATATATATATATATATATATATATATATATATATATATATATATATATATATATATATATATATATATATATATATTATATATATATATATATATATATATATATATATATATATATATATATATATATATATATATATATATATATAATATATATATATATATATATATATATATATATATATATATATATATATATATATATATATATATATATATATATATATATATATATATATATATTAGGTTGACCGGAAAGTAATGTCGTTTTTGCGCATGTTGACATTCGATAATCGTTGGCCAGTTTATTGTGTCTCGAACACGTGCACAGGTTATTTTTATATTAGTGTGACTTGTTTACTTCTAAATTACTTAAAATTAAATAGTTTTCTTTGCAAATTGGAGTGAAATGGCATACGAAATACAGGAAGTGCATATTCGTCATTGTATGCTTTTTGAATTTCGCATAGGTAATAACGCTACAGTTGCGACTAAGAACATTAGTGATGTTTACCCAGGTTCATTAGATGTTCGCAAATGCTAAAGATGGTTTTCCAAGTTTAGATCTGGGAATTTTGATCTTTCTGACGCCCATCGACCAGGAAGACCAATGTCATTAGACAACGACGTTCTAAGGGCAGAAGTTGAAGCAAATCCATGCCAAACCATTGAAGAATTGTCGAACACCCTTAACCAACCTTGGTCGACCATCCAAGAACATTTACACCAGATAGGAAAAATCAGCAGAGCAGGTGTTTGGGTCCCCCATAACTTGTCAGTGCAAAACAAAGCCAACAGATCAACCACGTGCAATGCATTGATTCAACGGCACCATGCAGAACCGTTTCTTGATCGTTTGGTCACTGGAGATGAAAAATGGGTCCTATACGATAATCCAAAACGCAAAAGGCAGTGGCTCTCC